CCGGCAATGGCCCGCGGCTGGGCCGGCCGGGGCCCGGCGGGCGGCGCGCGCCCTCTGGCGGGGAGAGCCGCGCATCCCCCGCAATGGGGGCCGGCCCCGCAGCGCCCGCTCCCACCGGGACAAGGACGGGCACGACAGGCAGCGCCTTCGGATCTCCCGGTGTCCGCACCATAAAATACACTGCTGCCTTTTTATAGAATATTAGGACTAGCATTTTCAGTCAGGTAACGCACCCAGGAAAAGAGGGTGAGCACACGACTGTACAGACTACGGGAAAGGCATGGTATGAGACAACAGAAGACTTTCGGAGTATTGCAGAACCATAGATTCATTTACTTTGAAAAAGACCACTGAGAGGATCAAGTTCAGTTAACCTGTCACTACCGAGTCCACTACTAAGCCATTTCCCCAAGTACCACACCTACACATGCTACTTCCCTGTTCCAATGTTTGACAACCCTTTCAGTGAGTATTTTTTTTCCAATATCCAATCTAATCTTGGTGCAACTTGAGGTTATTTCCACTTTCAGAATAAAAGCAGTTAGCCACGGATCCCAATACTATGCAGTGATTTACAAAATTACAACAAAAAGCACAACACCAAACCTACTTTCTGTTCTTGAAGAGCCTGTTCCAAGTTATTACTGATACATTCCCACTAAAACCTAAGGGGTTATGGTACTGCAACATCAAAAATTTGCCTTTCAAATCAAAATGTCTTTTACTGCAGTTTTTAAAGGTAGTTCACCCATCTTTTTCTGACAGATCTCTCACTGGAAGCAGTGGAAATCTACATGCAAGAACTAAATAAAAGCCGCTAAATAAATAGGTTTTGGGACATATTTTTGACAATTTAAAAACTTCAACACTTCTCTGAGCCAAACATTTGTACCATTTGGGGATTGCTTGGGGTTTAGGATACTTTATTTCCACAGCCATTCTTTAGTGAGTATGTGTTTCCATTTTCCCTCCTCAGCGAGTATAAAACTCTGACCATGAAAGTATCTGTTGCCCTACGCATGCCAGCCTGTGGGCATTGCTCTCTGTTAGCTTTCACTGCAAGTTTTATTGTGTTCTTTTATTTTAGCTTGGATCTCTGTATTTCCATATAGTGACCAAAAAGCACCAAGCAGCCCCCAGTGTGCTATTTTTGATCACCTAATGATAACTTCCATTGCCACTCTAACTTTAGCAAAGCTATATTCTTTTATCTACAGGGTATGCAATTGACACTATGCCTCATTATTTTTAGATGGTATTTGGATTTTCACTTTAAGCATTACCTCAGTAGTCCTATGTGTCAGTGTTATTTCCCTGATAATTAAGGTGGCCCCATAAAACATTACACAAAAGCAGGGAAGGGCTTGAATACTTTTTGCTGAAATGATGAGGCTGACCCAGCTGATGCATTGCACTGGGAGCTGGTGGCTGCAACAGCTGTCTTTCATCTACTGCCAATCTCAGATGCATCAGTATCTAAGATGTTTGATGAAGAATAAATAAGGGAACTAATTATCTTTTTTTTAATAGGAAAAAACCCAAGATAACCCCCAAACAAACAAACCAACTCCTCACAACCTAGAACCTGAAACCATTGCCACGACTGCACCATGTATAAGTCCTGGGCAGAAGGCAGAACTAATGGAACCTTGCACGGTTTAACCCCAGGCAGCAGCCAAGCAGTGCACAGCCTCTCACTCTCAGCTCCACCAGCGGGATCGGGGAGAGAACCAGAAGGGTAAAAGCTGGAACACTCATGGGCTGACATACAGTTCAATAGGGAAAGCAAAAGCCACACAAGCAAAACAAGGAATTGATTCACTGCTTCCCATGGACAGGCAGGTGTTATGAAGCTGAGTAATGCACCCAGGCAGGTGCAAGAGAGAGCCCTTCATTACAAAAACCAGGCCTTTTTAAGCAGTTAGCCCATTACCAGGTACATTCCATTTAACCACAACAAATGTAATTCAACCAACAGCCATAAGCCAAATTGTGAGCACATAATGGCTGTACAACTTGTTTTTCTACCTCCAATTCAGCTGAGTCACTTTTCCATAGTCCTCTTCTACTGAGCCAAAGTAGCAGGCCTGAGCCATGATTTTACAAGGGTAACAAGGCCCTTGTTCTATTAAGGTCTTACCTGCAACACCTGCAACAGGCAGGTGTTCACCCATCTCGAGGGAAGCAGGATCCCACCACCTGTACCCATTATTTGGGAAGAAAAAAACATCACTCCCAACATCCCCCACTTCTTCCTTCTTCTCCCACTTTATATACTGAGCATGATGTCATATGGTCTGGAATATCCCTTTGGTCATTTTAGGTCACCTCACTGTGTCCTCTTCCAACCTGGTAGATAGAATGTATAACAGGAAACCTTTCTTATAATAAAGGAATAGAAATACCATATTCAATCCCATTAAACTAACCAGGTAAAATTGCATCCTGAAATGATGAATCAAATCAATTGTAGATATTTCACTTTATCTGTAATGCAATGCAACAAATTTCCCCTAGAGCCAGAAATGATGTTAATTTCAGTAATACAAGCAAGATAAGAAGATGGCTATTGATAAAGAAATTACACATCACCAGTGAAATTGCAGCTGACATGACAGCAAATGCAATAATAATGACTCAGTCACAATCAAGGACTATAAAGATAAATATTACAAGAGCAGATAATTATATTCACCATCAAAATCAGATGCAGGGAAACCTAGCAAGGGACACTGTAAAATCAGAAGGCCCTGAGTTACCATGCTGATCCATGCAGACATGAGAATGTGTTTTCTGTGTCCCTCCTAGGCAGATAGATTCTACTGCAGTGTGGTAGTATCTCAACATCTTAATTGTATCAGTAGATGTATGTCAAGTTTTCATCAATGGCACCATTGATAAGTGTATCTACCCTCCTCTAAAAGTAACCTGATACTTTGTGAAACAATATTAATTAAACAGGTCTTCATTTTTCAGCAGTCATTTAGCAAGGAAAAACAGTTTTGTAGCTTGGACACATCTACTCCAGGCACGATCACATGATTGGTTTTCTTAGCATTAGATTTATACAGTCTTTGTATTGAGTGGGCTTTGTATGAGCCAACCACTGATCTTTGACTTTTGAGATATATAGGCTATCCATCTTCAGTAACTACATACACTCTCTGCACCCCATGCAACAACTTGACATCAATGATTTAAAGTTATTACAGTTGCCAGTTTTGAAGTACAGCTGCTGCTTCATATTAAAGTTGCCCAATTTTAAAGGTGAAAACATGAAACTATAATGGGCTCTTACAGAGCCTTGCTTGCTGCACATGACTCTGCAGCTGAATGTGTCAAATTAAGCACCAAGCCCAGTTTGATGCAAACAAGAATGAGATCAAACAGGTACTCTCTAACAAGAGCACCTCACACATTAGACTTCTCAATGACACATCAAAGCTCTGGAAACACAAACGTTTTAAAGCTTTATGTAATTTCACCCAGCCACACCTACAAGAAATGAAGGCTGCGCAGAGAAAGCCTAAGAATAGGAGATCCAGTTTTTACTGGTACACAGACCTGGAAGTGCTTCTATGAAGAGATAAAATCTGTTTATGCTCCCATGCATTAGCTCTCCTTTGTAGTTTTGAAAGGTGTTCCCCACTTACGTAAGAGATGCAAACTGCTTCCACGTAGGCAGAATGTGTGATCTTTTATTGAGGCACTTCTTTTATACTTGAGACCCTTCTTCAATGACATAGCTGAAATTGCTCATTTACTGATGACGTTCAGGCCTCAGCTAATGAAGCAGAGAAAACTCCAAAAGCCATCTGTCATGATAAGGTGGCTAACAAAGAGAAAGCGAAGTTCTGAAAGAATCCGGTCCTCTCAGCAGCTATTGAAAGCATACATGTTTCATTTCACAGCATATCCTCAGGTGGAAGGGACGCACTGCTCCAGGAGTCACACCACGAGCCTGAGAGCAGTGTTCAAACACGTCTAGAACTCCGTCAGGCTGGTGCTGACCACTTCCCCGACGACCTTGTTCCCTGTTCCAACCACCCTCTGGGTGAAAAACCTTTTTCTAATATCCAAACTAAATCTCCCCTGACACATCTTCAGGCCGTTCCCTTGGCTCCTTGTGCCACCGCAGACATCAGCGCCTGCCGCTCCGCCGCCCCTCACGCGAAGCTGCGGGCTGCCCTGACGTTCAGCGACACCTGCCCAGCCGCGCTGCTCGGGAGCGAGCCCACGGGCACCACACGTAACAGGCAAGAGTCACCCAGTAAGTGATTTTGCTGGGTAGTCACTTGATTAGGGGTAACCAGCATTTCCTCTCAACAGAATACTTGACAACCACTTATTCTTCTATTGAGGCAATAAAGACTAACAGCACTTGCCTGTCTCACAGAACCAAGAGCCCAAGGGCTGTATAGCCCCGCAAACAGCACTACTGGAGCACCTTCTCCGGGCGCCGTGCCCGCCCAGCTGCGTTCGCAGCGCCGCCACCTCAGAGCCGTGAGGCAGCACCGGCCGCCGGCGCCCTCAGGGCGCCCTGAGCCCCGCGGCGCGGCCCTGCCGTGCCCAGCCCGCCCGCACGAGGGCGCTCACCCAGCCCCGCCGGGAGAGCGCGCGGAGCACCGCACAGCCGGCGCGACCCCGCGGCCTCCCTACGCAGCGCTGAGCGGCATCTCCACAGCCAATAAACGGCCTTAAAGACGGGCGGGGAGGGCGCTGCTGGCCAATAGAAGAGAGGACAGCGGGGAGGCGGGGAATGCGAGAACCCAATTGAGAAACTTTCCGGCCCCGGGAGGGTGGGAACAAGAGTAAGGTTCAGTCACACACGGTGCGCGCTTCCTCCAATCAGAGCGTCTCCCCTCATCGCGAGCTCTGGATTGGCTAACAGATAGCCTCAGCTCGCCCGTCTCGCCAATAGAAAAGCAGCGCTGCATGACAGACGTTCGGCTCAGCCAATTACTGTCGGTACGGAGGACCCAGCCTCTCTTTCTTGCAAAATGGCGGCCACAGCTCCCGGTGCGGCTCCTCCCCCCCCCGCGCCCCCCCCGCCGCAGAGTCCGACGGCGGCTCCCACCGCCCCGGCGGGGAGCGCTCCCCCCGCGGCCGCGCCGACTCCGCCGGCCGCGCCGGCCCCGCCACCCGCCGCGCCACTGTCAGCCGCGCTCTCGGGCCCTTTCCCCGGCGGCCGCGTGGTGCGGCTGCACCCGGTTGTGCTCGCCTCCATCGTAGACAGCTTCGAGCGGCGCAACGAGGGCGCGGCGCGGGTCATCGGGACGCTGCTGGGTAAGAGCCGCCGCCCTGCCCGGCCCTGCCCGCCGCGGCCTCGGGGGGAGCGCCCGCCCTCCCCGCGGCCCCCCTTACCCTTCCTGTCCCTCCCGCAGGGACCGTGGACAAGCACTCGGTGGAGGTCACCAACTGCTTCTCCGTGCCGCACAACGAGTCCGAGGATGAGGTACGGAGGCGGCCCGGGCGGAGCGGGGGCTCTCTGGGCCGGGCGCCCCCCGCGCTCCGCTGCTGCACAATGTTGTGCCCGTGTTGCCCTCCGGGCTAAGCGCCCTTAACCAGCTGTATCCCGTTTCGCAGGTGGCCGTGGATATGGAATTTGCCAAAAACATGTATGAGTTGCACAAGAAAGTGTCTCCTAGCGAGATCATCTTGGGCTGGTAAGTTGTCCCATAATTCACTTTGTCACAGATGGAAAAGCAGAAGCACTAATGCCTGTGACAGTCATACCCTGCAACTCTTGTTACACAGTCAGTGGTAAAGCTCCTGAAGCTCATGAAAAGAAGAGATGGTATTGGAGACTTAAAGGATTTGTTTTTGTTTAGGTCTAGCAAGGTACCACAGAGGAGTGATATGTTAGAGAATATGTGCCCAGCTTTGTTAGAAGAACTTAGTTCCTGTAATACAACCTGTACCATGGAAGTTGACTGGTGAGAAAGAAGGGAGAATACAAAAGAGGTTTTTAATGTACCAGAGATGTCAGGAGGAATCGCTGATACCAGTTTGAGTACTTAGTTCTGTGCTGGAAGTAACCTGCATGTGGGATGTGAAGCAAGATCAATACAGTGTTATGGGAACACAGAGTCTGTGCCTGAGTGTGTGGCAGTGTGTTTATCACTCTTTTCATGCCTACAAAATGGCTTCATTTTCTTTCTGTGTAGCAAGCTTCCTTAAGAGCCTTCTAATGGCACAGCAGAGTGCAGTTCCAGTGACAGGAGCTTGCCTGAGAATGTGAGATGCTAATTGCAGAGCAGTTAAAGGAGCTAGATTAACAAGTTAGACCTCCTGCAGAGGGATGTGTGATTTGTGGATGACAAAATTCATCCAAGTTTGTTTGGTGTGCTTTGACTTACATAGATGGAAAAAGCTGGTCTAGAACACAGTGACGGATAACTGAATATTGGATGTCTGATGTCAATTTACTGATGTTTTATGGCTGCTACTACACCACTGGCCCGTGCGTATTTCTGGTGTGGGTGTGCTCGACCTCTGATTCCAATAATTTTAGGGACAAGAGGCCATAAAGTAAAAAATGTCCAGTAAAACACTTATGGTTAGTATGCTGCTACAGCTCAGTGCTTGGAAATCGGTGGTTTAGGATACAATCCTGTTAAATACCAACAATACAAAACACTGGGCACTTGAGTGTTGGAAGGACGGCTCTTTAACGTGTGTTCTTTTGAAGGTATGCAACAGGTCACGACATCACGGAGCACTCGGTCCTGATCCACGAGTATTACAGCCGGGAAGCACACAATCCAATCCACCTCACCGTGGACACAAGTCTCCAGAATTCACGCATGAGCATTAAAGCCTATGTCAGGTACTCTGCGAGGGGAGCAATGTGAATTACTGAGAGATGCCCCATCAGGGTAACAAGGAGTGTAGTGGGGTGCAGTGTCCTTTCTCAGACAATATTGTGCAGTAGTTAAACATAGTGGTGAGCCAAGGATCATGGCTTACTTCTCATTGGAATGTCTTGACCATTGTATATAGGCTTAAAGATTTCATTAACTGGAACCTCATTGGGGTGAGGAATTGTGACTTAATTAACAATTTTCAGAACATCTTTGGAATATTTCACAGGGTTCACACAGCTGGCAGTAATGTCACTAACTTCCATCACACTGACATGTAGCAATGGGGCTTTATTGCTTAGCAGTGCCCTTATACAAGTTGGAGGATTAGTGTGGTTAAAACAATTCAAACAGCATCTTCTTGATGGGTCTTTCTTCCCCTTAATCCCATAATTCTTATCAGTTAACAATGGAGATTAAATATTGAGAAATTAAACTCTTCCACCTCACTGAATTCCTCCCACTATTGGCTGAAGCACTCTGCTCTGCTCGGAAAAGACCCTTTTCTTTGTAGAGAAAGTATTGCTTCTTGACTGTGCGTCTTTAAAATGGGAACTACTCCGTGATATCTTACTTAAAGCATAAATGGACTTCAAGTACTTTGAATAATAGGTATAATAAAGGTGTGGAGAGTGCTTTGTACTTGAATTTTGTCATATTGCTTGTTGTTTCAGTCATTTTGTAAAGCATGAAGTATTTCAGGATAGAAGAACACTTCCTATAAAAGCAAGAAGGAACTTTGGTTAAGGTGATAGTTCTTCATGCATTCATGGTGACGTCAAACCAGCTAGGGGTATTCTTGGATGAAAAAGAGCAATTAATAGCATGCCAGAACTGGTTTCCTGTCCTCAGTTATCCTTGGGTCTTAAAATTGCTGATTTTGGTGAGAATGAGTAATGCACTCGTGTTCACGCTTTAGTGCTAACAGAGATCTTTGAGATGGAAATCTCTTCCTTCCTCCCTTATATATGTCCATGCTGAAAATGTTTTGTTGTTTTCTTTTTTTTTTTCCTAGTGCCCCAATGGGAGTCCCTGGTAAAACTATGGGCGTGATGTTCACACCACTAACAGTGAAATATGTTTATTATGATACAGAGCGGATAGGAGGTGAATGCTTTCTTCCTATTTTGGTTATAACCGTTGTTGTGACAATGTTCAAATGCTTCTTTTACCCTGGTAAAGCTGCCGTTCTGGGAATTTTACTGGTAATCAGACTGTCTTGCTGAAGCTGACCTAAAAAAATCTTCATCAAGTTAAGGGTTTAAACTGTTATCTGTGGCAGTCTGTTTTTTTCACTGCTTCTCCTTTTGCTTTCAGTGGATCTCATCATGAAGACCTGCTTCAGCCCCAACCGAGTGATTGGCTTGTCCAGTGACTTGCAGCAGGTGGGGTCGGCGTCAGCCAGGATCCAGGACACCCTGACCATGGTGCTGCAGTACGCCGAGGACGTGCTGGTACGGCCAGCTTTCTATCAGCCAGAAAAAAAGTTTGATGTTAACTTGTGCATCTTGGTTTTCTCTTTATTATTTCTCTTTCTGGGCCATAAACTTTGAGTTCCACTTATGCTGAAGTGTGTGTTTCTTATGCTTAGTCTGGCAAAGTGGCTGCTGACAACACTGTCGGGCGCTTCCTGATGGATCTTATTAACCAGGTGCCAAAGATTTCACCAGAGGACTTTGAGACCATGTTGAACAGCAATATCAATGTAAGATCTCAATTAATTTTTTCTGTGCCTTGCTAGCAATTTTGAAAATTTTTCATACAGACATAAATTTGTCTATAATCTATCCTTTCATATCAACATGCTAATACAGCTTTTTTTTATTGCCAGTAATTTGGTGTTTTAAGGGCTGAGGGTGGATAAAGAAGCTCAGCATCATCTTGCAAGCAGCTCCAGATAAAAGTATTAATTTTTAAGGACTTAGGTATTTTGCAAGTCATGTGAAAACCAGTACCAATTTTTCTTTCATATTGATTGGACAGCATGAATGACCAAACTTAAAAAATTTATTTCAGCAATAACTGGTGACTTCCCAGATTCTTTTGCCTGAGCTGGAGTTCTGTCTCTCTGCATAACACTTACAAACATGAACAAGGTTTTAGCATGCTACCTGATTTCTCTAACAGATTTTTAGAGAACTTAAGTTTCTGAATGTGTTGTTCACCCACAGTCTGTAAGACCAGAACTAATTTTTAATTTTGCTTATACCCTTTGACTTCTCTGGTTAACATGGGTGAACTCAGAGTTAAAATTTCACAAGCAGTGTTTCATATGCCAGGAATCCAAAAGCTTCCTGCAAGGGAAGCATTCCTCAGGGCAGGACTTTCAGGAGTAACAATATTTCTTGTAAGCTGATTGTAAAATGCTTTACAGATGTTAAAAATTCAGCTAATAAGCTAGAATTTGTTAATATTTCTGATCACTGTTTTTTTCCCCTCCCTTTCAGGACCTACTGATGGTAACCTACTTGGCAAATCTCACACAGTCACAGATTGCTCTGAATGAAAAACTTCTGAGTTTGTAAAGAAACTTTTGCCACCCTACACTTTAAGGAGCCTGAAGAATGAGCAGATACACTTTTCTGTTGTGTTAGACATTTCCTTGGACTGTAATTTAATTACCTACATGACTTGGTTTACATCGTTATTTCCATTGCTCTGAGAAGTCCCTAACATGCTTTAGGAAATGAATGGGAGCGACTGCAGTTCAGTTGAGCCTGGTATTTTAAAATGAAATATGAGAATCTTAGGTCTTGTGGATTTGTCTACTTGTATAACAAAATACAGCTTTATTGTAAGAATGTATTTGGAATAAAAGTTCCATTGCAGTGGCAACAATGGTCCAGAAAAAAAAAAAAAAACTTTCTCATTTATTGTGTAATGAATCCATTTTAGAAAGAGGGTGGGGGGTAAGATGGCATCAGGAAAGAAAGAGTTGATGGGAGTGAACTCCAGTTCTTTGCAGGTTTTTTTTCCAACTGCTAAAGCACACTGGAAGTGTGGGGGTTTGTGTTGCATATAATATGCTTTAGCATGCAGGTCTGCAGAATAGTCTCTGGTTTAGTGTGGTGCTGTGTACATCCCTTCAGCAGGGTACTGACAGACTATGAGACAGTAAATTCAGTTTATGGTATCACTTCTATGCATATAATTATTTTCTGATTGTTTGGGAAAAGAAGTAAAGGTCAATAGCATTACCCCCTCTTAAAGAGTGAGTTCAGAGAATTAAAGCCAGCAACTAAGTTCATGGTAAAAGAGTTTGAAAAGCATTTGTGGCTAAACAAGCTTGGCTACTGGAGTTTCCATCTTTGCCAAAGACGAAAAGGACAGCAAAATGACAATCCATGAGATTGGAGGTTGAAAGTTAGGTGTTGCCAAATGGGAATTTTCTATTTCATAATGCTGTACTGCTGCTAAAATGTGAAGAGAAACCCCATTTTCTCCCCAAGATATGTTTCATGTTAACTAAGTTCCAGCTGGAAGAAAGCCAATACAAATATCAGCTGCAACTTTGCACGGTCTCTGCCAATAACATTACCTTTAGAAGGCTGTCTTACAGTTCAGCTGTGCTGAGGGGGTACTCTGCTTTAACAGAGTTAAAGCATCCCTTTTCTACAACAAAACTGTTCCCACCTTACTAAGGACTGTATCTAGTTTGGTGAATGAATTTGAAATTGAAGTATGCAAAGAGAGTCTTCTCCAAAACTGGTAATTTGCCAGCTAAATCCAAGAATAAGACCCAGATTACAAATCTGTAGATCCTGTATTGCTTTTTCCAATCTAGAGAGTTCCCCCAGTGACTCAATGCTAAATTCTAAGTTCTAATTGCAAGGTCAATGTAAACGGAAAGTGAAGGTCCAGCAAAGATCCTCATCTCATTGAAAATGTTATTTGTGAGCATTAAATAAGTATTAGAACTCAACTCTTTTTTTATTAGTCTGAATAAAAGTGTTTCACTTTCTCTTTTTTAAACTTAATATTCTTAAATTCAGCCATTTAATGTTTCAAAATTTTCAGATCACTGTTTTTTGAAGAAAGTTTTGACGTGGCAGAAAAGAGGAAGCAGCAAAGGTGAATAAGGCTCTCAATTACTGCAAAGAAGTTGCAGTGGTGGGGAAGCAAAATATTTTTTCCCTTATCTCTCCTCTGCAGGAAGCTCTTCTATTCCCTCTTAGGAAAAGGGAGAAAACATAAAAAGAAAGCTATTCAGCTTTTAGATTGTTAAAAATCTATGTTGTTTTATAAGCTGGTGTGCACAAAATGCAAAGTTCCAAGAAGAACATTTGTGATCATTGTGGAATTTGCCAGTCCTTGCAAGTACTGAAGACTAATAATGAAGATATGTGATAAGGAACTAAGGTTATGTCTTCCTAGATAGAAAGATTCACTGCAAAGCAGAGGTGTCTGAAGTGACCAAAGTCCACGAGTTTAGGCCTTTGCAAGACAGGACATTGCCAAATGCTTGGAGGTGGGGTAGGAAAAGAGATTCCTTTTAAAAAATTCTGTCTGGTCCCATCCATTCTGTCCTTGTGAGTGGACACATGGTGATCCTTACTTTGACTCTGGAGTTTTGAATGTCTGATTTCAAATTTCAGTGACCACTTTTATGAAGGACAACACTGTGAGCACAAGTGTAATGCATAATTTTGCTTAATTGTAAAGCCTGAGCTGTGCTGTTACCTAGAAGGCATTCCTTCTCTAGAATTGTAAAATGTTGAGAGGAATTACTAAAGGTATTCTATTAGAATTGTTCCACTCTACAGAACCTGTCTAAAAACTTGAACTTCAATAGAAAATTTGGTGGGGAAAACTTGGGAGTCAAGAAACATCACCAAGGATTTCAAGCTTTAACTCTGTATTGGTTTGTAAATTGCATGAATTAATTAGGGAACTTTCTCCTTTTCCTGTGTTTGTGTGTTTCTTCAGAATGTGTTGCTCCAAATAATTGACAAAGTTAGTTTCACACAGTCAAGACAGATAATTCTCTGGTATTCTTCTATATATTATACAGAGTTCTACTAGTGATCTCACTAAAACAATAAAAAACTTCCATCCTCTAACGCATTCAGCATTTTCTTTTCCTAGATGACTTCTCTGAATGAGTATAAATTCCTGGACATTACTGTATTACATTTATTTGTGACAGTGTGCATATTTTCCTGGTAAATATTAGGCTTTAAAATACCTTGTTCGAACAACTCTTCTACCAGCTCCCAGCACTCAAGTATTTAAGGGCTCAAATTATGTAAATTATTAAGAATGTTAAAATGTTTAACATCTTCAAATTTGTTTTTTAACCTGGCTTAGTTGAGCTCATCTTGGGTTTTTACCTAAGCATTAAGTTCTTGAACAGTTCTTTTCCTCAATATACATAATAATATTCAGAACAGAGTTTAATGTTACAATGAATTCTCTTTTGGTATAACTTGGAGGAATGTATCAAGTCCATCCATCTTGTTGCCTTGGGCCTTTTTCAGACACAATCTCAGGCAGCTTCATCAAAGGAGAAGAGTTTCAGCCAAGCACTTCTGGGCAGTACAGAGGCAATGAAGATGGGTTTTGCAGTGAGCAGGGTGACTTTGGACAAGCTGCAGTTTAATTAGCCCACAGGCATTATGCTTTGCTCTGACATCTTCCCAGCACAGTAAGACTGCTGTGTTTCTTATCAAAATTAATACTTACAGGATAGACTACCTTAATAATATTTATATTAGGGAATAAAATATAATAATATTTATATTTAGGGAATGCTTTCATAATAATTCAGGAGGAGGTGGTAATGGTCCACTATTTTTTAACCAATGAGACTCAGCAGAAAAAAATTCTATATTGTTTGCAATAACAAACCTTATTGTTATCTGCAATTTGAAACTTAAATCCTTGCTGCCAGAATAGCAACTTCATTTGGTGATTATTTCCAAGTACTGGGATGAAGGTCACTAAATTTGCGTTTTTAGTTGAGTCACTTCGGTTTCTTGGCAGCTGCAAAGAGGAGGCAGTGTTTTGGTGTGCAATTTTGTGAACCTGTGGACATACGCCACCTATACCTGAAATTCACGCGTTCGATCCTAATGACTAAAATTAATGTGAAAATGTTAGACACACAACCCTTCTAGAACAGTTAAGCAGAACAAGCTGCTGTTGTCCTGTGCTTTGAGGAAGGGTGAAGCTTCAATTTCCTCACAACGGAACCAGAGACTGGTTGGCAGTTCTGTAGGGGTGGTGCGAAAGCCCGACGCTCAGAGCAGGGCGGGTGCAGCACTAACGTGACTCACCGGGCAGCGCCTGCCCTGGGCAGCTCACCAAACACACGGCTCCTCCTGCCTCCTGAAGGGACCTGACTCGCTCTGCTCCCTGCACACAGGGAAGGTTGACTCAACAGCTTACTGGGACTGTGCATTTCAGTAACTGAAGTCACAAGGCAGTCTAACAGGAGAAGTGGTTTTAGTGCATAATGTAGACTTGGGCCACTGCAGCATCCTGTGGGTTTGTTACACTTTGACCGATGGTTCAAAGCTGACCAGTTCTTACAACAACAAACTTGGGGAAAGTCTTTGCTTTTAATTTAATTATATTAGCTAAGTAGAACAGCACAACTAATACTTTATATTACTTAAGTGGGAAATAATGTTCCAACCAGGACACATAGAGAAGCAGCAATGCTTTAGCTGCCTACAATAAATTCCTCTGGAAAAAAGTTTTGTTTCAGCTCTTTTGACAGCACTCAGCAACACTACGTAGTTGAGCCAAGTCACTCCAGACCAGAATTCTGTCCAGCACCATGTTCTAGGATCAGATGCAAGAATATAACAAAAGAGAAGAACAAAAGTTTGTCTCTCCCCTAAACTTGAATTTTCTAATAGTGAGAAGCTGCCTTGACACTGCATGGGGTTTTAGAAGCTTTCCTAAATGTGGGGGCTCTAGGTAAAGTAACAAGCCATGGGATTTCCCGAAATACAGAGTGAAATTAGATGACCACAATTGTTCCATTGCATGCTTTAAAAAAGTAAATCCAAATATTCTTGTTGACACATAAACATTCAGTGCATTTAAGAGATTCTTCAGACACGTGTAATTTTGTTAAAAATATTCTCATCTTCCTTTTACACAAAAAGAAAGGAATTTGTTTTAAAACAAATTTGTCTTTTCTTGAGTAGCTTAAGTCAAAACAGTCCACTAAATGAAAAAGATAAAGAACAGCGTATTTTATAAATTTACTTGGTTCCCATGGAAACAAGGATTAAAATATATATCTGTCCTGAAAGAAATGTGCTTAACAGGTGAAATAAAGTAGACATGCACTCGGGGTGTCAGCTGAAGAATGCTGTGAGGATTAAATTCTTAAAGCCACTCCTGATGTGTTCTGAGTAAACAAGAGAGAACAAGCCCGATTTTCCTGGATAGGTAATGTATTAGATTCATGTGGCTTTATGTGCTCTTCATTTGAAGCAAGTAAGCATGGTAAATTATTACCCACCTATTTTCTGCTGTCTGCACTTCACACTGTTTTATGGACAAAGAGAACAGTGGTTGTTATTTCATCTCGAGCTGAAGTGCTGCACCAGGTTACAGGAAAGAACCAAAGCTGTTTACATTGGAATGGTCTCTAAACTGCTAACATGTTTGTCATAAACAAAAAAGGGGATATTTTGAATAACCTCAAGTAACTGGTGCATAATATTATAGGTGAATCCTTCATAATTTGTATCTTGTTAGTCAGAATGTCTTATGAATAATTGACCACCAGGTAAAGAAAGGACTACATCTGTGTAATGTCTATTCAAAGTATAATATGAATAAACATTACAACAGACAGAAACAAAACAGTAAGTGCACTCCCCATAATTACATTCAAATAACTATAATTAAGATTTCTTTCTAGAAAAATGTATGTAGTAGTCAGTCAATCTTACCTTTACATCCTCTTGGGACTTAGATCCTGGTCTTCAGTAACTATAGCAAAAGGAGCGGCTCCTCCAGCTCCATGCACTTAGGTCTTTTATATTCTTTGCCTGTTACACGCAGTCCTGGTGGCCTGGGTGACTTGATGGACTCCCTGCAGCTACTGAACAATGATCTTGATCTAAAGACGCATGTGTTACTGGATTACAGACTTGACTTAAAACTACACGCATTAGGGCTGAACTCCATTGCAGTGGTGCTACAGGGAAACTGCAGTGTGGACTTTTCTCTCCCTTTCCTACCGGGTGGCAAAGGACTCCCGTGGGACAGCATCTCCGGGCGCCTCCTGTGTGAACGCTTCCCCTGTCACTGGCGAGTGGCTCTGCCTTCGTGGCACTTGCGCCTGTGAGCTTACTTCTGGTCCGTCCCGAGAGATAACCGGGCATCTCACAGCTTCCCTTCAGCGAGACGGACAGCAAAGGGTTCTGCGCTGGCAGGGCCGTCACTACCGGCACCGGGCGCGGTGCCCCTGCCCGCGGGGAGCGCGGCCCGTGGGCCGGGCGGGGCGGGCTCGGTGCCGGGGGCGGGGCGGGCATCGCCGGCCGCACAGGCTCCATTTTGCGGTGTGGCTGCGGAGAGAGGCCGGAGGCTCCGCAAGTTCCCTCAGGTGAGGCGGCTGGGGGGGAGGGAGGAGCCGCCCGCCCGCCACTCGCGCGCCCCTCGCCCCCGCCCCGCCGGCTCCGCTCGCACCTCCCGGGGGCTCGGCCGCAGCCCCGGCTCTGCTCACACATCGCTCGGGGGGCCCGGCCCCAGCCCCGGCGTGTGGATGGAGCCCCGGGCAGCGCTCCCGGAGCCGCGGCCGCCCGCGCTTCGGGGCTCGGCAGGTGTCTGGCCGAGGGAGGTGCCGCCTGCCCCAGGGAGCCGCACCCCCGGTGGGGGCTGCCCTGGCGCTGCGGAGCGGGGACGAGGTCAGGTGGCCTCGGGAGAAGTAGGTACGGGACACCGGGATACTTGCCTCCGCCCGCAGCTCCACCTCGCCGGAGGGTTCGCCGGGCCGGCCCGCGGCTGAGGGAGCGGGAGGAGCCTGGGGCGATGCGTGACTGCCCTGAGCGGAGCGGGCAGCGGCAGGCGGGGCCCTTAAAGGCAGCGGGGGCGGGCGCGGTGCCGGCGGGGATGCGGGGCCGGGCCGGGCGGTCCCGGCGGAGCAGCCTGGGAGACTTCTCGGTGTTTACCGGCTGAGCTCCCGCCCAGCGCACGGAGCGCGGCGCGCCCGCTGATGTTTCACCGCGGGCCGGTGCCGCCGCTGACTCACAGCCGGCCCCCGGCTCAACCCGCCCCGTGCCCATCCGGGGACAGCGGGGAAAACGACAGCTGACGGGAAAAAATCCGTTGTTGTTTTGGTTATGAAAGTAATTATGTCAGAGCCACTGTTCAACTTGAGGATGCTTGTGCCAAATTTAAAGTCCATTTTTTCCCCCCGTCATTAAAAGTTTCATAACCTGGCTAATGGTCTCGAATCTCCCTGCCCAACTGGTTGGCAACATGCAGGATGAGATGATCTCTACCCCTACTCCCCAAGTCCCTCTTAAAATTGTGACTAAAATAAACAGTTACTGTCAGGAAATAGAAATTTGCTCCACAAATGAAGTAATGCTGAGGGATTATACATGTTCTTATCAAATTACCATTTTACATGGCATAGCTAGGGTGCTGCTCTTCTCCCAGGCACTAGCCCTGTGAGCAGAGCAGTGCAGGATGATGGATACAGGTGCTTGGTGCAGTCCAGAAACCTGCATGATTTCTGTCCTGGCAAAGGGTTCAAGCTCCCTCCTGCTGGCACCTCAAAATGTATCCTGTATTTCAGAGCTTTCTGAAAGTCTGAGCCTCTTACCATGCTTAAATGTCTGTGTGACTCTAAATAAGAATGATAGTTAATTACTGTAATTATTATAAGTTGAAGATGCTTCCCTTCTGAATTCTGATTGCTATAGTCAGATGTAGGAGAGAAAAAAAGTTCCGTAGGTTAACAGCAGATTATTCAAGTGATTTAACAGATAATTAGCAAGCAAATACCTACTACAAACTCACAGATAGTGCTTCACAGTGGAAATACCTTTTTATTTTTTCTTCCCCAGAATGTCATACCCAGGTTACCCCCCTTCTGATGGCTACCCTGCTTTCCCAGGTTATCCTGTAAGTATGGCTCTTGAATGTGTTGCATTCCTAATGCATTTGTATTCTGTGAATACCCCATGTGTCTGTAAATAGTAGCTAGTAGTAAATAGTAGTAGTCAGTTCATGTACCCTGTCTCTAGTGATTATGGTCTTTGTTTTCCTCTGTATATCTCTGGGGATGACTTTACAGCTGTCACACAAGAATTCCAAGAAGGAAGGTTAGTTTTTTTAGTGATGCCCGTTGTTCCAGAAAGGTCTTTGGTCTAGTTTTATTTTATTTTGTGAGTTTGGGTTTTTAAGTACAGCTGTCTCATCTCAACAATTTTTATTTTTTTTAAGTTTCTTCTGTAAATAGGAGGCCCTTTTACATGTAGGGTTAGAAGTAATCTCTGAACCAATCTGTATGAAATACTCACATAGCCATATCGCAGACGAACAGAGATGTTCAACAAGCTTCAGTGGTCACAGCCATTAGGAAGAGCTTGGAACACTTCACTCAAGTAGCCCAGTCTTCATATAACACCAAGTAAATGTTTTTCTGAGGATAGAGGACACTGTATCCTAACTATCCTATCCACAGGACTGTTCCACCTTTACCTCACAACTGAATGGACTAAAAATTTTAAGGAAACTTAATGGAAGGCTGAATTGTATCGGGTATGGCTGATACTGCAGTCTTTTTGATATGCCTGCAATATTTTTCAAAGCTGGATTCATGTCTGTGCTTTTATGGCACTGACCATGGCACTTGTCATGCTGTAATTGTGGGAATTTTACTGGTGTTCTATGTAGTACAGAACCAGACTTAGGCACGGATCTCAGCCCGAATGCCTTTAAGATACTGAAAAGCTATAAATACATGCAAAATATACATGTATACATATAAATACATGCAACAAATTCTCTGATGATTTTGCTTTACAATCTACCCTTACTTCTTCTGAAACACTAAAGTCAGTCAAACAAAAAGACAAACATGTTAGAAACAAGACTATTAACTCCAGGATTTCTTTTCTTCACTTAAGGTTCTGCTGAACCCTCAGGATTTTAGCTGTAGTTTATTTTTAACTACTTCTGAAAATATTTTTTGCTTAGCTAGCATCTAAAAAATAGCCAGCTTCAATGAATTAATTTAAGAGATCTTTTAGACTTGTTATCAATGATTTTCTAGTCTCATTAATGATGCCCAATGTGATAACCAAATCAAAAAGCATATGTGAAATTGTTTTTTTTCTGCAGCACCGGTAGTAATCTGAGCAGGGCTTTTGAGGATCCTAATTTTGGATTTATGAATCTGAATTCCAATAAAATATTTTTGTTGAGTCAGGCAGAGAAGTGTTAGACTGTACCTCTGGGGAGAAGAATACTATATAGCCTGGGCACAGGAATTTGGGGGTAGAAATTTTGGGGCAGCCAAACCTGAGAACATTTAAGCTAGGCTTTTCTGCTGTGCACTTTATTTCTGTTTTCTGGGGTCAAAAATGATATGTACTATATGTAATGTGTTTCTAAAGCTAGTCAGTAAAGATGATTCCCAGCAAGTGAGTAATGGGTCCATCCATTATGCTTCATTATGAAGCTGATTTTGAATGCTTGATTTCTCAGATCATGTATAATGACTTTGACCTTACAGGGCTTTCCCTTAGAGATCTAGGTCATTCAAGTAAATATTCCTAATATATCTTGATGCTAATAGCAACCTTTGTGGTATGGCTGATAAATCATCCATGTAGCAAAACAAATATATAGCTGTTGGACTAGTTCTTTTTATTTAAAACCTGTAATAGGTGTTCAGTCTGACTCAGTGATCCAGATTTAGTCATTGAATGTCCATGCTTTATAACATGGATTCCAAAGGAAATGGGAAAAAAACCCCGAAAAGTTCTTACCCTGTAACATTTGAAAATACTATTTGTGCAAGAGAGGCAGAAGTTTCAAAGCTACTATTGCTGTTAAAAGTCTTTTAACGGGAGCTGAGGTCCTAATGCTTCAAAGAGAGCAAGCTGAGCTGAGCTCACCTCCTCCTTGTGTGGGACAGAAAGAGCAGCTTTCCAGTAAAGGCCCAGGAGTTGCAGTGGCTGACAAGTCGAGTGGGGCTCAGCACTGCCAGTCCTCAGGGAGGAAGGCTAATGACACAACAGGCTTTAGCAAGAGCACCTCTGCAATACTCTGGTTGTGGCCTCCCAGTACAACAAAGACATAGACAAAGAGGAGCATGTGTAGGGAAGGCTGCTTGCAGCTAAGCACATTTCTGGCTAAGCACAGATCTGTTCAGTCTTCTGCTGGGTGAGAAGGAGCAATAGAGACATTGGAGCCAACTCTTGTCAGAGGTACACAGTGAAAGGGCAGCTAGCAAATAACAGGTTGCAATTGCAACTTGGTTTGAGGAAAACATTTTTCTCTAGGAGAGTGGTCAAACATTTTAACAGGGGCCCAGAGAGGCTGTGAATTTGGCATTCCTTGTATATACTGAAAACTTGACTATCAGGCCTTGCATGAGCTCACCCACCTCCAAAGCTGGCCCTGCTTTGAGGGTGGATGGGATCACAGGCCATCCAGAGGTGACTTCCGCCCTGCAGCACTCTCTGATTCCCTGTCAACATAGGAGATGCATCAGAACACCCAACCAGGAGGATCCCATCCAGGCTTCAGGAATTCTGCTGCTGCTGCTGCTTCAAGCCCTACAGCTAATTGTGTCATTTACATTGTTATTATACACATGGACATTTTGGCAGCTTGGGAGTTTTTACTCCAGTGTGCTGTTAACAGGTGTACAGACATCCCATTTTTGTGTTTCAGCCAACAGGACAGGAGTCTGTCTATCCACCAGCTGGTCAGTATGCCTATCCTGCTGTTCCTGGAGGATTCCCTCCATCAGGAGGAGGTACCTATCCTGCAGCACCACCGAATGCTGGGTTTCCAGGGGCAGCAGGGTATCCTGCCCCAGGGGGCTATCCCACTTCAGGGGGCTTCCCTGGAGCTCCCCAGGCTGGAGGAATGCCACCTTATCCTGGAGGTAAGATCCTTTGTTAAGAGTAGCAGTCAGGAGCGATTTCCAGTGTAACCATTCCCTGTGCTTGTCAGAAATAGTAAAGAAAAGCAGCTTTGTTCAGTGATGGGTGCAGGCAGCAGCATGCAGGCAGCCAGGTTGCCATCCAGCAGTAAATACCTGCATGCTGATGGCAGAGCCTTGGTGGTTCTGGGTCACTGCACAGACATGGAGGAACCGGTCTCTTACGTAGCTTTGTTTAATAACCTGGCTCCTGTGGTACCAAGAAGTCAAGTACAAAATACTAAGTGTGCTAAAGCCTGGTGTTTTTTTTTCCCCCTGGCTCCTTCAGGCCCTGGCTTTGCTGTGCCTCCCACTGGGCCTGGCTTTGGTGGCTATCCACAGCAGCCTCCTGCCCAAAGCTATGCTGGAGGTGGACCAGCACAAATTCCAGGTATGTCATATATAAGAAACTTCAAGCATCCATGGTTAAACCAAGAGACTCCAGGATAGGTAGTAACAAATTAAGCCCTTACCTTTGTTACTTGTAGCTGTTGAGGTTTGTATGCAGCGCACCTCCTGCCACCTTTCTTGACCAGGCCACTGAAGAGCTGATGAGAACCATTTCTGTAGGTGCTACATCCAAAGGGGATGGCTGTCCCTGAATAATGGTCATGATGTAGTGGTTTAGGTGCTCACCCTTTTTCAAACTGCACGTATCTGATGAGAACTGTGGAACCCAGAGTACACATTCAGTGCGTATCTAGCAGTTCTGTTAATGTCAATTGCATTTTTCAAATCTGTGTGTTCACAATGATTCCTGACACACTGGAGAAAAGGAGAATGCACACATTTGCTTAAAAGCAGTGCAGTGTTTGTACTGCTTTGAGTGGTCAGTTGCTATAGAGATGATTTTCTTTTAGAAAATCATATACAGAGATATATAAAGACTTTAGAGATGATTTTCTTTTACCTTAGAGATGATTTTCAGTTACTTTAGAGATGATGTATCAACTGGAATGTATCAGTTGTGTTTTAAAGAAGTTCAAAGCAGCAAAACCTTTTTGTTTTATGATTGTTCTGTTAACTGTGGTATTAAGTTGCTATTAAAATGATAAGGAATGTGCATACATATTATGAATAAAAATAAAATTCCAGTACAAAAAAATAGTTTCAGCTTTTATATTACCAGTGCTTTTGATCACAAAATGACATTCCTTCAATCTTTTTTGCAGCAATGAATTCTGAGTATTTATTGTTTACATGCTAGGCATTTTAAAATGTATATAAGCTTTTAAAGAGAGCACACATTGGAACACACATTCTTCATTTGTTTGGGCTATCTTGGCTTCTGTCAAAAATAGCAGAATTTCATAAGGAGAGATCCTTCCAGTTCCCACAGCACCAGTAAGTTTAGTATTTTTAGAATTGCCTTGCTAGTGTGTGTACCAAAATGCATCTGTGATTGCTTCTTCCTGTAATCCCCAAGGGAGGAAATTCAGTTACTGATTGTGGTAGGTACCATTAGGAAAGAGGTTGTGTGCAGTGGTAGGTCTGACTTTATATTCAGATTAGATGGCATTTCCATAATAAGAGAAGACCTAATTAATTTCTCCTACCTTGTTCTTTATTTTCACTAGGATTTCCTGGTGGACAAGTACCATCCCCAATGACTGGTCCGGTATGTGCTGTTTTCTTTTCTATAAGGAATCTTATGTGGCTTCTGTAGTTTTAATGTTTTTACAGCTGATTTCCAAAGGCTTCAATTTTGTTCTGCATCAGGAGTTTCCATCTACCCTCAGAGTAATGTCCTGATTCTGTGTTAGAGGAAGAAATGGAGAACTAATGGGGAACTCCTTCTGAAGTACTGATTGCAGAGTTGTGATTTTAATTTGAATTTTTATTTTGTAGATATCTAGTTACCTGTGACTCTTATTTTCAGCCTGCTGCAGTGGTTCAGTGTACCCAGGGTACAATTCAAGCTGCTCCAAACTTCGATGCTGGAAGGGATGCAGAAATCCTACGCAAAGCTATGAAGGGTTTTGGTAAGTAAGAAATAGAAGCTTTAGTTCCTATTGATCTAACTTCTTAATGCCATTTTGTTCTTGTCTTCATTGTTTATTTAACTACACTTCCCCCCAACAAGCTTTTCAAAAGTTACCTTTCCAAATGGCCGGGGCTATTTAGTAGATGAAGTTACACAGACAATTTGGTGGACTAAAGTAACAGCCTCTTCTTGTTTAATTATGGCCAAATGCAACAGTATAAAATGCAGTTTTGGAGGGACTATATTGCATTCTTACATGACATTGCCCTTCTGTTTCCAAGGAACTGATGAGCAGGCCATCATAAATGTTGTTGCTAACCGCTCCAATGATCAAAGGCAAAAAATCAAGGCAGCTTTCAAGACTATGTATGGCAAGGTATGTTCATTAGTTCTTTGAACCAGGAAACAAACCCAAACTTTCACCTGCTGCTTAACTGCCTGGTTGCATTTTAGTCCTGGGGAATGATTTGAGCATTTCTTAAATGCACTTCTTTTGGTTATATTCCTTATGTATTGGGAGAGAGCTGGTATTTGATATAGGATTGTCCTGATACCTGGCAGAAGGAGGGGTGGGGAAAGGCTGTAGGCTGTCTCTGTCCCTGACCATACAAGAAGCTTCTCTAATGCTTGACAGAAAATAATCAAGCTTAAACTGCCCTTGTATTAGTGTCTGACACTACTGACACTGAGGGTTTTTTTGCACACAAACCAGCACTGAAATCTTCTTTTTTCCAAGAAACAAACTGAGAAATGATTGAGGATTGGATAGTAAATAAAATTCCAGGACAATTTAATTTCTTCCCTGTCATTTTTGCAACCTAAAGTGAAATTTTGTAGTTGTGGCATTAGTGAGGAGATAATGGAGAAGAGTTGAGCTGAGGGAAGTTGATAATAAGAAATAAAACAAAGTTTTACAGGAAAAACAGCACAAAGGTAGAAAGGTAGAAATATATCATACAAGTAAGTTCTAGTTTGATCTTTCTTCAGTATATAATCTATATATGCCTAACACTCTGCAAAGCCCTTTCTGTGTTTATAACTGAACAGGATTTAATTAAAGATCTGAAGTCTGAGTTAAGTGGTAATGTGGAAGAATTGATTCTAGCCCTCTTCATGCCTAGTACCTACTATGATGCCTGGAGTTTACGTCATGCGATGAAGGTATGGTATTCCTGGAAAGGAAAGTTTTAAACTACCTTAAAATGCTCATCTAAGAATACCTGGTCCCAGCATTGTTGAAAAATCCACTAGCGTCAAACAAGTCCTGGGATTGCAGGGCTTAAAATTACTTTCTGCTGCATCCCCCAGTTCCAGACAATTTTTGTAGGATTAGCCAATTAGCCAGGGCAGATGTCCATTCAGTAGAGGAGGAAGTGCTGCAGGACAGAACCTTGTTCTCTACAACTTGGGCATAATTTTTGCTAGAACCCAGAAAGGGCCAGTATGCTGTTAAAACCATAACCACTGTTTAAACTATATGCCTTTCCTTATTAGGAACAAACCTTTGTTAATGAAGGGTATTTTTGGATTATCCCTTTTTCCCCCCAAAAGACAATGAAAAAATAATTTCTTAAAGTCAGATGATGGATGTTTCTGTTGAAATATAAAGACACCATTTAGAGATTAGGTGAGCTAGATGGTTTAAACTTTTAACTCAGGTAAACTGGTACATCCAGTTTACTGGAATGTCTCACTTGAGCTGCAGCAGCTAGCAAGTGGAAACGAGTAACTCAACCCATGTATGAATGCACACCTTCTAGAGAATGTGGAGGTTAAATGAAGATCTGCCTTTAATGGGAAATAGCCACTCAACCATTTTCAAAAATTCATAATATAAGATTACCTAGAAGACTCACCTACATCTCCTCTCCTATGTAATCCTTCCCTGAATTGAGATGCTCTTGCCAGTAAGATCCCTCTGTACACAGAAATCACAATTAACTTTTGTTCTGGGGAGAGGGAAGATTCTATAAAAAGTTCTACATTGTGGAAGCAGCCATATTTGGATAGGGAACACACTTGTGTACTGACCACAACAGAATTTACATGTGTACCTTTGACTTCAATGATTATTATAAGGCTTTACCTTCCTTTGGTAAATTTCCAGATTAAGGTTGCCAAAGAATTTCCTTGCTAAACCATTTTCCATTTAAATTTGGCCAGTGTCACTGATGTGGAGGTACAGTTTCGGGGTATTTCTCTGAACTGGTGCAGAATGGCACCAGTTTGAGGAATCTTCATTCCATTTTAAGTATACAGTAGAGTTGGTGCTTTCGCACTGCAGGGATACTGTTCTTACACTCTAGATTGTATTAAATTTTGAAATACCAGATGACTGCCCTATTTCACAGTTGAAGGAAACTGCATACAGTGCTCTGTATTTATGCCTTTGTTTTCTCTGCCTACAGGGAGCAGGCACTCAGGAGAGTGTGCTGATTGAGATCCTTTGCACAAGGACAAACCAGGAGATTCGCGAAATAGTGAACTGCTATAAATCAGAATTTGGAAGGGACATTGAACAAGACATCAGATCAGACACTTCAGGCCACTTTGAACGATTACTTATATCTATGTGCCAAGTGAGCTTTAATTGCTTTTTTTTTTAACAAGATAACAGTGTACAGTCTGATGTGTTTAGGCTCCACAAATAGCCTGTGTGTGCTCAGCACGAGGCAAGTTTTTAAGAAATTAGCCCATGGTCATGAATTTATTCCCTAAGATATGACACTTCAGTCCCTCCTCAAGAGATACTTCTTATCTACAAATCCATGATGAATTCTGTGACCTAATTCAGCACCCTCAATTAATATCAGAACTTACACGGAAATACTGTGCAGATGCAACCCAGTGGTTCCCTAAAACAGTGCTCTATGCTGCTGTTAGAGAAAGCTGCTTTTTATTTTTTTGCATATGTTAACAAAGTAATCTGGGTGAAGCTAATTGGATAATCTCTGTGGTATGTAGAATGCCTGTGAGAATCCCTACAAACAAGATAAAACATGCCACAGAGCAAAACTTCCCCCTCAAGTTACTCCATAGCCTGCCTTCTCTTTATGTCACCAATGTGGGGAGGTGCTGCTGTTGAACTCAGATGACCACTGGAGCTTTTTTATCCCATATCATTTACTAGGGCTCATTTTGTGTTGAAGAATAGTAACTTGCAATTACTCATATTTAGGAAGAAATATGTAACTAATGCAACTTCCCACATTTCTCTGATCAATTTGCCTATTTCTGCTAGAATTTCTAGGACACTTCTCTATCTCATTGGCTTCTTCCTTTGTGAGAGTTCAGCTATGCTCTAGATATTTGGTTAAAAGTCAAAATCCACAAGAAAGCAAACCTGGAGAAGATCATGCTGCTAATTTTTATTTTGATAAATCCAGTAGTTTACAATAACTGACAACCACATAATTTAAATAGTATATTAACCTCTATAGATACAACAGTATTGGAGAGAATGTATTCAGCCTACTCAGCCAGTATGTTTAGCAGTATCCATCCATGCACTGGGCAGCAAAATGCCAAAACAGCCACCAAAGCACATAAAATGTCATATAAGCCCTACTGACAAAAGTGCAGTTAAGTGGTTTCTAAAGACATTCTTACTTGAAATAAGCAACTTCTAAATAAAACAGGAGGGAAACCTGAGATATTTCAGGTGTGCATTTCAGTAAGATAATTCATTAGTTGATTTGGGAAGAGTCTTTGCAACTTGAAGCCTAGAAACAAACAAATCAAGAGAAAGCTTACATTATTAAGCAAAATAGAGAATTAAGTACAGTACTTAATTAGAACTATGAGATGGTTTGTAGGAGTGAAGTTATGAGTCAGTGTATCTGTAGTTTAAAGCGTGTCCTAGAGATAGGGTTCTGAGCCACTTTTGTATCTGTTTCCTATAAAGAATATTAAATCAAAGAGAAGTTTTAAAGCAATGTAATGTATTTCAAACTACTTCTCTTTCTGCTTCAAGCTTTGAAGATATATGCTTGGGGTCTGTGTATACTGCAAGCAGTTAAAGCATAGCTTTCTCTGTGAAATTTAATTTCAAATCTCTTGTCTTTGCATTAAGGGTAATCGTGATGAGAATCAAACTGTGGATTATCAAAAAGCTCAAGAAGATGCTCAGCGTCTGTACCAAGCTGGTGAAGGAAAACTTGGGACTGATGAATCTTGCTTTAATATGGTTCTGGCAAGCAGAAGTTTTCCCCAGCTGAAAGCAACAGTTGAGGCATACTCCAGGGTAGGAGTTTTCACTGATTTCAAATAAGCTTAGTCAATGTATTTGAAATTAAGCTTCCAGTTGCTACTGCATGTCATCATATACATATTAATCTCATTTATTTGTAGATTGCTAATCGTGATTTATTAAGCAGCATTGATCGAGAATTTTCTGGAAATGTGGAACGTGGTTTGAAGACTATTGGTAAGTTATATGTTCTTCCCTCCCCCCTTATCCTTTAAGAATTAAATCTAAATGTAACCAAAGAAAAATCCAATTCAGCACTGGCCATATGGCAAATGATCACATAATCAGAGACTCTGCTAGAACAGAAGCAGCTTCAACTATTCAAATGATTCATCTTGCACTTAAGTGAAGAAAATAAGCAGCCATCATGAAGAAGTCAGTTTAAAATAAGAAAAGGCCACATGGAAACTACTTGTCACTTCTCTGGGAAGGCAGGCAAGTGCTCAGAAGCAAGGGTCACTGTAGTGTAATGGGTGCTTGTAGCTCTGTAATTCAGAGTTCTGCAAAAGGGGGTACCAGTGTCACAGAGCCGTGACTGGGTGTGCAGCTCCTCAGCAGAGACAGCTGAGCCACCCACACAGATAACCTCAGAGCCAGCATGAACCTACTGAAGGCACAGATCCTTTCCCATCCCCTTCCCCACCACCATCTACCCTAAAAAGCTTAGCTCTGGCTAAGGACAAGCTTAGCAAAAAAAATATGTTGTTTTGAATTCACTTTTTCCTACTGACTCG